CCCCAAAACCCCAAAACCCCAAAACCCCTCTACATATAGTATTAGTTGAGTTTTCAGAAATGGATTATTATAGGCACAAATTACAAACACATCTTGTGTGATGTCTGTCATATTTAGGACTGTTTCACTTTAGCTGCGGGTTATTAACATAACTGATTTAAGTCAAATCTCAGGATTATATGGAGTAAACACTCTTCTTAAGTGATATGAGCTCTTGATGGGACTCCTAGCTAGAATGAGGTATTTACTAACGAGTGTTAAAATATCAAAAACTAGAAATAGTGCTTAAGCTCAAGAATCATTTCTTCTCAGGCACTTGGTCAGACTTGGCCCAGACCAATTCTTGGGCTGTCAGGTTGTAATAGTGGAGTTGAGCAAAGATAAGTTATCAGGTCAGGATCTAATACTTCAATAATTACTCTAAGTGCATAAAGAAGGTCCTTCATGCGATTGGGCATGAGGATTATACTCCATCAACTATGTTCTTCTGTTCAATGCATTGAAGCTATTCACAACTTCGAAATAATTTAAACATCAGCTTGGCTGGAACCAAAAGAGCAGTTGAAGGAGTCCGAGCCAAATTTGGCATGCTTTCATTATCTTCTGAATTCTCCAACCTGGAAATTTAAGGTGAGATAGTTGAGGTCTTAAACAAGCATGAACACAAGATTGTAGTGGTTATGAGAGATCAGATTCTGAGTCCATAGACAAGTAAGAGCACATATAGATCATGAATGGGTCAAGACTCGTTATAAGGTGTTTACCTTGTTTGATAAGTACAACTCTCTCTCGAGAGAGCGAGAGTGTGCTCCCTTTTGGCTATATTTGAGAGATACCATCACTGGGCGAAAGGGTCGATGAGATATACGTTATTAAGTTTTTTCAAACCCAAGTCCTTGCTGAGTAATCTAATACAGTAAGAAAGCTCACATGTAGTGTTTAAAATTTAATGTAATAATTTTCAAAGTAAAAGACTCGATCTTTTCTGTGGTCTTAGACCTTTAAGTCTCCAGCATTCCTGTAAACCTTCAAGTACCATCAATGGCTGACTCCAAACTTGGATTTGCACTGCCTGAGCTGATTTTCTATGTTTTTAATTCTCAGAGTAAAGCCTTGAATTAATTTATACCAAAATAGATGTATCCTTTTCAATCTGGGAAATCCAATTTGGGGTTTTGGGGTTTTGGGGTTTTGGGGTTTTGGGGTTTTGGGG